TAGTATTTCAGTACAGTGTATCATTACTACAGTGAATGACAATTCAAAATTATTAATGCGACAGTTTTTTGCTTTTGACCAAATTATTGATAAATTAGCTAGCAGATGAATTTATATTTATCAAAAACAAATTTGGTAATAATAATAATTTAGCCTGAAAATAATGATAACAATAACAAAAATAGTAATTATTATTATCATTATTATAAGGTAATTACATTTGAATATTTTGATAATTACTATTCATGTACATATATAATAATATATTGAGCAAGATTAGTGTGAATGTATATGTATCTGTATATGTATATGTATATGTGTACATGTATATGTGTGTCTATGTGTGTGTATCAAGTACGTGTGCATGTATGAGTTTTGATTTGATTGTATTAAAATTTTTTTAATTAAATTGTTATCACATTACGTTTTGATATCAAACTTGGTATGTATGTATGTTATACCTCCTTGTACTACCACTTATTCTCTTTGGTTTATTTGCTGATGTTAAAATAGACCTTATTTTTATTAGTAATACCGTCGACCGATGGTTAATTTTTTTAAAAATGAGAAAGGAGCAATAATAGTACTTCCTTCGCCTACTTGAGCAAAGTTACCAGTTTTTTTCTTGTGCAGATGTTTGTTTCTTCTTTCATATCAAAAACAACCATTTGTTTTATTCTTGAACAAAAAATCAATAATTGATAAGTTATAATATGAAAGATCACTCATGATTATGAGGTAAATTTTTTTTTAAATATATTTTTGAGTGCACACTTTTTTCTGTCATTTTATTAAATACTGCCGTTGTTCTCAACATTCACTGTTATGTATAGAGCGTTTTTTTTTTCTTCAACAATTTTATGTTTTATTGATTCTATTGCGGCGATTTAAAATCATCTCATCAATCAGTAGTAAATGTTTGAAAGAAGAAAACCAAAAAAGACAATTAGAAATTCAAAAAATTTTTCTCGAAATTTATGATTTTAGCGCTTTAAACTGAATTAAAATAAATTAATGGATGAATGAGTGAATGAATGAATGAATGAATGAATGAATGAATGAATGAGTGAATAGTCACATTCTGTGTATAGTTTGTTGGAAAACAGTTTAATACTGAAAGGCTGTCAAAGCTCTGAAATGTTACTTCTTGTCTTATTATATATATTCTTTTTCTCAAACTTCAAATCTTCAACGATATTATTCAGATGTGTGTGTATTTCGTGTGGTTTATAATTCATTGCATCTTCAAAATTGTTTTCTGTTCAATGCTTCATGAAAGCCAACATCATCAGCCGATACATCATGTCTACTTAAATTTTTCAAATCCTATGTGAGTCATTTAAAAATTTCTTTTTTTATTTTATTTTTTTGAAAAAAATTATTCCTTTATGACGCATACTTTTGCTTTCAAAATTCAAACATAACTTTTTTAAATAGCATTTTAATTTCAAAGAAGTTTTATTTTCTTGCTCATAAATCAAAACTAACAAAATTCTGTTCATTACGATTACTTCAGTAAGCTTAATGTATATATAAGTCTATGTAAGTGAAAATAAATAAGTTAAAAAGTTAATTTACATGAAATTATTGAGCATAACAATTGATTGCTATGATTTAGCATAGAAGTGTATCAAAATTAAAAAACTGTTAAGTTGAATATCAAAAAGTGCTAATTTTAAAAAAATATATGACAGTAGAAATAATATTTCCGTTATCATAAATTTAAAATGACCTTTTAAGTTGATAACAGTTTCAACATATACTCACTCATTTTTGCCTTTAGCTTGAAAAAAAACAAATTTGATAACGTTTTTTGAAAATTATTTTGTTACTTATAATTTTCAAAATATCATTACAAACTCAATTCAAAATAACAGAATAAATTTGTGTTCTAACAAGCATCAAACAGATATTCTGATGGCTTCTAAACAATATCTTTCTGTTATGAGTGAACATACATTTTTTGATCTTTATTAACAAGCCAGTTCTTTACAATTCTACAGTAATTAACAATATTCTAATCTTCTGACTAATTCTAGTCAGTCATAATTAGTTCCGCTTTTAATTTCTGAAATGTAACTATTGTAGAAATATTGCATCTTTCATTCGACGACTAAAAGCATAACAGTGCTGTAACCTTGCTTTGTGGTATTACTTTCTATTATTTTCAAGTTCACGCATACAAATATAAAAAAGTATTGCAAAAATTTGCAGTCATAATTCTATCTTTGCTTTTTTGTAATTATCAAAAACATTTCCTCACTTATAAATATTATTTGATTAAAACTTTTCACATCATAAATGTTAGATTCATTTGATACATATAATAACACAATTTTGTTCATTACAATAATACTTTCACCTAAGTGACTTTTTTAACTTTTCAACGTTGTAATTTGTTTGTTTTTTTCACGCTACCTTAGCTGTTTTAAGTGCAAACTATCTCAGACAAGCATTTCAGATTACTTTCTTCAAAATGTCCATAGCTCATTTGTGATCACTTTCAATTTTCACTATCGACAAAGAAATAATGATTGATTAATGCAAAAATTACCGGATACTGTTACATCTTGTACACATTTTTGTCTCATTGCTCATTTATTTGTGTTCAGTTCTTCTTTTTTTTCCAGTTCTTAGAATTTTTAACATAATGTGTCCATCTTGTTTCAATCATTTTCAATATTAATCCTTATATTTCATTTTCAAAAATTTTCAACAATTAAGTTTTCGTCAGTATTATTACATGATTATAGATTTACCGAAATGGACAATGATAACAACACAGCAACTTCTTCATTGCACATACTAACGCTAAATGTCCACTTGATGGATACGATTGTTATTCATTGCCCAGTATACGAACTGAATCCTAAATTAAAAGATTTGATACAGAATTCCATTCTTTATTTGGTATGACACTAATTTGTGCTTTTTATTAATAAAAGCAGCAAAATTAAAATCAAGAATAGTAAAGTGTTTAGATAGATGTTATAATTTTAATCCATGAAACTGCTACGATAGCAGATTCTGATGTCTTTCAGGTATCTGAAACAAGTTTTGATAAATGTCAACTTGACACTTCTTCTAAGATGCTAGGATATTGTAAACCATCAAGGCAGAATAAAACGATTCGTTTTACGCTAAAACGACATGAATCTAAATTGGGCAGATTTTCGCCAGGAAGAAATTACTTTATTATAAGTAATGATTTGTTTCTGATAATCTTTCCTTACAGTACATACAAAAAGTAATGTTTAACAAAGTGATGAATCAAACAGTCTTTAATTATATATTTTCTGTTTAAAAATAGAGCTAATAATATTCTTTATAACAAGTCAAGTCTCAATTTTTGAATTATTTCTCATCATTATTATAGTAAATAATACAGATTTGTGACATAAAGTCTGCCTAGTTGACAAAAGAGTAAGTTATAATCAAAATATACCTTTTACAGCAGCATCAAAAAATGATTTAGACGGGATGCATCAAAGAAAGTTTGGTTTCTGTACTAACAACAACATGAAAGTTATAATTCACGTTTTAAAGGTAATGTTATTACATTTTATTGTAGTTAAAGTATAATTTATATGTTTTTAGAGGACATAAATAAATGACTGGCTGAGTGTGAAAAAAACCGAGAATCGAGTAGCAAAATTTTCTCAAACAAGTTTTCATTAGTACATTATTCGTTTACAAATTAACAAACTTGTTAAGGGTAAAATAATATTTGTAATATATATTATCTTGTTTTTCTTTGCTAAATTTGAACTTATATCTACCAATGATAAAAGTTTTTATTAAGTAATTTTGAGCACAAAAACAAAGCGTTTATGCTGTATGATGTAATCAAAGTATCAAATTACTTCTTTGTCTTTTATTTTCATACTTTGGAGTATTTATAATCTTATAAGTGTTCCTTTCCGAGTACAATATTCATACGTAAGCATTTTTTATAAAATAATCATTCCAAATCACGTTTAAATATTGTATTCATTCTAGGTTACGTATTATGTTGTATTAAATAAATTGTTGATTGATATCAGTTTATCAGTATAACTCGAATTAAAAAAGTATCGAACGAACTTTATTATTTTTGATCAATCTTTGAAATTAATACTAATTATTTTAATTTTATTTAAACTGTTATAATGCTTGCTATAGTAAAGTTTTCAAAATTAGCCTAATAGTTAAACATACTTAAATGGATTTAGTTCCAAACAAATTACTTAAATAATGCAATTTTATTCTTCTTATAAGTAATTTTTGTTAATAAATTTTGCATCTTTAATGTGATTTTAAAAGAAAGTGATCTGCAATTATTCTATTTTAAACAAGATAAATTGTAAAAAAAAAATTTTTAGGAACCATACAGGATGATGGAGCCAATTGAAATTTCAGCAGATAATTCTGATGAAGCAAACAAATTCATTGCATCGAGTAAGTAGTATTTTTGATTAAACTGTATTAAAATAGATAAATAAATCAATCAATCAATTTTACATTAACATACCAATTTCAAATATATTTTCAAAAAAACTGCCAAAATATTTTTTTTTTTAATTTCATATTTCATAGTGCAAACAAGCGAAACATTGACAAATTAGATGTGAAAAAGTAATAATTTTTTTTTTGAAATTAACCATCAGTTGTATTAATTTTGTTTAATTCAATAACGAGTTTAAAAGAAATTAGTATGGAGTGAAAAACCATTTTGATGCAATGTTTCGATGCTACTTTTCTTCACAAAAAAATAACAAGCATTAAATTAATAGCAATCATGGATGTATATGATATTATCAGAAGTAAAAAAAACAACAACAGGTGAATAATTTTATAGAACAAAAGCATGATGAGGTACTATTTATGACTGAAGAATTTAATGAATTAACTTGGAAAAAAAAGCTCTATGATCCGAGAATACCACATTTCGAACAACAAAATTTCAGCTATTCATATCCAACTATTGGTGAGTTGCATTTTATAATTATAATATCATGCTGAGTGTAGTTGAGCCAAAAAATTATTGCAAGTTATCATGTTTGAAATAAAGTTTTCTTCTGCCTTCTTTTATTAAATTTATAATTTCTAAAGCAAACAGTTGCGGTATATATATTAGAGGTAAATTGAATAAGTACTAATTTATTTTTTATTACAGCACCATTTGGAAATCGAGTTTTTCAAAAGTTTCCAAAAACTCATCGAATAATAACCAATGACCAGGTCATCCCATTTTTGAGAAATCATCATGAAATGCGACGTCAAAGAAAAAGCCTTGCGAAGCACACTTCTCTTAATGGTGATAAAAATAGCCGAAATGAAAAAACGAGAGTTCGAATGATTGTACCTAAATTTAGGAATGAATATCTGTCTAGTACTAAAAAATTTTTCTGGCCTTCTGAAATGTCAGAAATTAATAGTGCAGAATTGGAGAGAATTAATGAAACCCTTGATACTGTAATAAAAAATGATATTACAAATAAGGTGAAGTAGTCAGTTTGAATTATTTATTTTAATTTCTATAAATAATTCACAGTAATATATTGAAATTATGTTTCTGGTGCTGTTAAAACAGAAATTATATTTCTAGTAGTGTTTGTTTTTTACAGTAAATTTGAACTTTAAACCTCGAATTCGTGTCATATTTAAACATATTAATTTACTATTTTATTTATTTTCATTTACTCATTAATTCATGTTCAATATAAAAAGTTTAACTAAAAAAATGCAAAATTGAAAAATCCAAACGCAAAGTCGTTATTTTAAGATTGAATCAATTCAATTACATCAATATCATCGATACGGGTCAAGCAGAAAACAAAGCAATAGAAGAAAATATCAGCCTTCATTAGATAATTTGATGTTTTATGATCGTCCTACGGATGGTATGTTAAGCTTTCAAAAAGTCCAAAACATTAAAAGCATTGATATTTTGCTTATTCTATGCTTAGTTCCCTTTGAAATAAATTGTCAGCTACAAACTTAGTGTATATTAAATTTTAATGCCTGAAAATATTTAGTGCTTTTCGAAAAGTAATGAAGTTATTGAAAAAGAAAAATAAATTTTCAATTTTAATAAAGCAAATAAATATGCGCAAATTTTTTATTATATATCTTTTAAGAATTTATTAAACATCTTTTTGTTTAAAGGGCTTTAATTTTGAATTTTGAACAGATTTCTCTTTTTGTGCATGCTTAATTTTGAAGTAAATTTAGAAATGCACTAAATTCAAAAAAAAAAATAATAAAAGATTTTTTTAACTTTTAATTATAAATAAATTTGTTTAATTTTTTTCCTTTACAAAATAAATGCAAATATTAGCAATAATATACTCTAAAATATTTCAGAGATAATACCATTATCGAATGGAGTTGAAAGATATGAGACTTTAAAATTGCTAGTAGTAATAATTTTGTGCTGTTTTCAAGTCATACCACATTTATAGATATGATAGTTATAACGTTGTAAATTCCATACTTCGAGCGTATTTTACTAAATTTTTAAATTCATCTAACAACTTGTAAATATTAATTTTTTTACAAAATCTACAAAATATATATATGTAAGCTCAAAAATTCATTTATCGAATAATTTTGCTAGCTTTTATAAATACTGTCATAGCATCGATACAAAATGCTTATACTTGTGGTTTGACAAATGTCTTAAAAATAGCATCAACTAATTTATAAAAGTCTTAAAGTTAAAGTTAAAAATGTAATCAGTGCTACTTTTTCCAACTTGTTGAGGATATATGTAGCAGAAAATTTGCAGAATTTTCAAGTACTTATTGAATTGTTTACGTTTGCTAGTATTCCATCGTTAAATCATAACCTGTAGAATGTTTTCTATTGCATAAACTTCTGTTTAAAATATGACCGATGACAGTTTAGCATTTTATTTAGCTGAACAAATACTGAAAAGTTAATCTAGCAAAAAAAAAACGTCTCTTTTTTTTATATTTCTTAAATTATATTGAATATCCTGCATTATTGTTCCTGCATTATATGATTTCAGTTACGATTATGACATATTTTTGCAGTATTATGACTTTTTTTTTCAGAGAATGTAACATAATTTAGTCTAATGAAATAAATTTGTTGTAAAAAAGAATGTATACAAAGTATTTTAACATAGAAAAAATATTGTTCAATGTGAACAGTATTTTTGGTCATAACATTTTTGTGTGACTTACAATTCTTTACATCAGTAAGCATAATATATGCTAGTTTTGAGTATATATGAAAGCAAGAAGAAAATTAGCATTTCAGTTATTTGATCAGTATTTATTGATATTAGTATAATACATCATATTTGAAGATTGCCAGCAAACTATGAAGTATTGATTTATTATTAATAAACAATCGGAATAAATGCACTGAAGATCGAGATAAGTACAGTACGATCCTTTATGCTGAGTAAATAAATAAATATTGAAAATTTTGTATGCTACCTTCATTTTAAGCTTTATTTATATTCTTGAAACTTTTGATTCATACATTTTATGACCAATATTGTCTAATAATAATCTATAAAATATGAATATTTTAACAAAAATGATTTTTAAAAGAATTAAGAAACAAGATTAAGCAATGTAAAACATTTCATTACTACTATTTTGCATTTTCTATGCACAATTATTAGTATTAAATATTTCAAGTTAATATTAAATCCATTACAATAATATTTTTATCTGCAATATATTTTTTAATATTCATTCTAATATACTATACTTTAGCTAGCATAAATCGTAGCAGTAAAAAAATTTACAAAACTATATTCAATTAACAGTACTTCTCATAACTGCACTATTTAATATCACTCAGATATTTTTTAACTTGTTGTAATAATATTATGGATAACTGTTATCAATGAGAATTTTGTTTACATTTAATGTCAGATACTTGACGCTTAGCACTTAAAACGCGAAGATCACTTCTCAGTTTGTAATTAAACAATTGGATTCAGTACTTTTCTCAACCGTTCATTTATTCATATGAAAGTATAAATTTTCATTCACTTAAATTTTATTCATTTCCATTTGTAGCATTAACTTAGTTCCTCTTTTGAATGATTTTTGCAAACTATTTCTACTTTTAATTACATTAATTATAGAATGCTTTCTCACTTCTCTATACTCATAATGATTGTAATGAATTTATTGGTGCAAGTTACTATGAATCCAATGAAGGAACAAGCAACATCATTATCTGTTGCTTCTAATCATTATCAAATCAAGAAACGACAAACATCACCATATATTTGCGGCATTGTACCATATAGATTCTTTTCCGATGTCCGTATGTGACTTTTGTTACTATCTCCAATGAAACATATCAAACTGTATACTACTGCTAGCTCTTTAACTGCTCTATTGTATTAGGACTGAATTAAAAATACTTACTGCAAACGAAAAAAAGCTTTTTTTTCTTCTCAATAAATGATTACCGAATTTTTTAAAACTGTCAAACGTTTTCAGCTTGTTACTTTTATCCTATTTGTGTTAATGGTGGTTTGAAGCTCAACATCCCATGCACTACAGATTCAGTCTGTCAACACTATAACTCTTCTTATACATGCCAACAAAGTACAATAATTCCATAACTCAAGTTTTTAGGCGTCATATTTTGAGAATGAATGCGTTAATGTCTTGAAAGGGAGATAAGTTAGCAAGCTATCTTTTATACATGCTGTATTGTAAATAACACCAAGCTAATAATGTTTTTCATTTCATTTTTAGACATTATTATTTAGTAAACACTATATACATCAACTAACGCAAACTTATCATAGTTAACAAATAAATATCTTAACTATACCTTTATTATAAATTAGAAAATATCTTGCTTAAGATTTGTCCTTAATCCCATATTATCGAGTGGGACTAATAGAATAGACAAAATGACTGGTTTCAAGTTAGCGAGCTGACAAGTAACTGACAAACATTACTACATTAATTTTTCAGGCAACTGTTGTACACAGCCTACTGTATACACATCATCGTCATTAATGGTAGCATACGACAGAAGTGTGCAAGTTGTCGGCCACAAATTACTTTTATTGTTATCCTTTTACTGGATCCTTCGTTAGATTTATTGTTGTTTTTGCAGCTAACACTAAGGAAACTAACCTTAACAAATGCTAAACTTACGAACTACTTCCACAACACTAAAAATTGTCAATACGAAACAATTTCATTAGTGACAAAACCTACAGTTCAAAAAAACAAATCACAACTGCAGACGATATATCGTGGACATGTTTATATTCATAAATTTTTCCTCTTTCATGTGATTTTGTGAACTAAAAGACCAAAGAAAACATCTTAGAATCTATTAGATTTTCCTCACTCTAGTTTCCTATCAAAAAAACCACATTAACAAAACCCAGTAAAACGAACGCTTCACCACAAAGATACTGCATACCTTCAATAAAATGTAAGTACTACTCATTGTACGATGTGATAAAAAGGCTTCAATTATATCAAACTCATGCGTTAGTCCTTAAAAACAGAACAATAGATCTCCAAAATATGCTTAAGAAACATTAGGTGCACTAAAAAACCAGCAAATCTTCTGTATTTCACTCTTCCACAGTCTTAGCAGTACTTAAAAATCTAACAAAGAATGATTGTTACTTTAAAGGAAACAGAGTTAAGTAGTAATTGTATTTAGCAATGCCTTATCTGAGGTGCAAAACGATTTCAAATAATTTAATGTATCGCACTCATATGATACAGATGTACACCACTGGAGTTATTAAGCTACAATAATTTTAAGTACAAAGCAAAAACCACTGATTATCATGTTTTGGATTTAAAATCAATGATGAAAAACCTTTTGATGAAATTCGTCAGAAATCAAAATCACCACACTTCCAATTCAAATAAATAGCCTGCACGAAAACAGACAGAATCAATAGACACACCCGTAATAACGCAAAGTAATCCCAATACCACTATTTACAAGGGTACTTAAAAATGATTTCTGCTTTCCATGATCAAAATCGGGCTACCCATAATTACAAGACAAAAGGTTGTATTGGTAATGCATAATGCTATGCAGTACTATAATGTCACCTCTCCCTCCTACTGTTATTTATAAAAACAAAAAGATACTTTAAAATAATACAGAACTCCTTATTTTGAAACACTATATTTTTATAAAAAATATAAGCATACTCTAATACCATTCAAATTCCGTCTGTTAAATTCGTCAGTGGTATTGCCACTTAATTTTCAATAAAATGACATTGGAAATTGTGCATTATCAACAATCAACTGCAGAAAAATAGAAATGGAAGTCTTGTCAAATAATGTATATTAAATGTAATGATCAGCACAATTAAACGTTAAAATAATCATGCATTTTGCATGGAATACCAACAGCTTCCTGTAAATAAATACATCAATTATTAGTTGCAGTAACTACTTTTTTCACGTTGGAATCATGCTTTTTAGCCAACGGTTGACCAATTTCTTTACCACGAAGCTTTACACCTAGCGCTCGCTCCATCTTCGTCAGAACCTGTGAAAAAAATAATAATTTTATTTTGAAAAGAAAGTGGCAAACAATGACAGCACTAGTATGACAGAGAAATTTTAAGATTATATTAATAGATGGGAACAAATTACCTGTTGATTAGGGACAGCTTTACCATTCTCATATTCTGCTACAACTTGTGGCTTCTCGTTAATATGCTGAAAAAAATGTGAGGGGAAGAAAATAAAGGTTACATAACAAACCTTGATATTGGAGCAGTTGAGATAAGAACGCATATAAGTTCAAACTTCACTTACGGTGGCAAGATCTTTTTGGGTCCAATCCTTCGCTTGTCTAGCTTTTTGTATGACTTTACCAAGCGTCAAAGGAACACGCTGATGATGTAACTCCTCGGTCTCTTCATATAATCTTCAATAAATATAAATTGATTAAAATAATAGATTCCTATTAAAAAAAGAACACATGCTGACACATTCTTAAAGAGCAAGAAATTTAATCTCGAAAAAACCATGTTCTTAACAAAAAGCAACAAGTTACATTAATCATAGCGTTAACTGGACAGCATCACCATAATATTAAGGCATTTTAAAATACAAAAACAATGAAGTAACATTTTATTAGTGTAAACAATGAAAAAACCTCGCAGTATTTTTATTTGCTTGGTGTTGTTTATTGCCACCTGCGAGAAATTTCTTTGATGTTTCAATAGCTATTCCTTTTCGTTGTGCTGCATTTAGTTCCTAAAAGTTATTCTTCACTTGATGATATGCGTGAGCCATAGAGTACAAAAATAGTTGCCTCATCATAATGGATTGTTATACATCATTATATGTATAAATGAAGCATAGCCGAATGAATTTATGTTGAAAAGCGACATTCAGAAATAGAGAAACATACCGCGGTAGTGCGCAAAGTCTTTTGCACTGGACCACGACGATGTAGAACCGTTACTGTGTCAGGATCAGTATCCGACTTGATATTACCGAATTTCGACATATTCAAAGTCAGCTCCAACAGCGCAGACTGGACTGAAAGCACAATAAAACTAGTCTAAGAACTGTTGTGAACTCGAAGTATATGTCACAACACCACGTACTTCAAGAAATACTTTATGCAAACGCAACTAAATAACGAATTGACAGGCAACACAATTTCCAAACTATACTAATAACCACTCACAACATACTACTCATGCCTACTGTAGTTGGAAAAGTGCACACTATCAACTGCGCAGGTTAAATCTTTAACACTATTCTTATGCAAACCTGCGGATCACAATTTGCAAAAAATGTCGTTGACTCAAAATATCACAAACTTATATAGACCTTCATATGAGGTTCCTTCATTAAAAATACAAAACCAGTCTATTCAACTACCCACAAGATCAACTAAAGCTGACAATGTTCTAAAACTGTTACCTCAACTTCAGTAGTAGTGACAATGCATTAACTGCACTTCCACTGAGTAAATCACGCTATCACTACACTCGGTACTTTTAGATAAAAACCTACAAAACATCTTGGTTTAATCGGCATACTCACAGAAAAAGCTACAAATATAATAAAACGCATTACTGCAGTCCAAATGCAAACATATATAGCAGTGTGTGACGCAAAAGTAATGTAACGATGGCGCTACGAACCAGCTGTTAATGCATAAAGTGAAAGTCAAGATGTACTATGAATTTGATTCAAAATATCACAAACTTGTACAGATCTTCATATGAGGTTTATCATTAAAAATACAACAGACAAAAATGATGAATATAACATTTACACCAAGATTTCATTTCAAATATCCTGAACTTTGACTAGCGAGACGAAACTATAATCATCAACAAGGTTCGACGCTAACAAACAACTCCCCAAAACATTTCTTAACACTGATGCGCTGAAGATTTTCGAGTACAGAAAAAAATAAGTTTAATCGACGTGTTCGAGAATGATTACTATTCTATCAAAATATCATGGTAATCATTTCTAAGTATATTGGAAATTTCATGTTAAAGTAACATACACGTCATCTCATCTAAACTGAAATGCAGTTATCATAAATAGGAGTTAAAGCTACGCGACCAGCAAGTTATGAAGGAAATACTTTTTTGCAGATCACAGCCCATGTTTTGTATGTTCTTTTTCTCAATGTATTCTTGTCAAATCCTCTCAATGTATTCTTGTCAAATCCTCAACAAGTTTACATACATCCTCAGCCGTTGCATCTACGAACTCCACATTTTCAGTCACAGAATTCATGCCTGAAAACATAAATGACAAAACGAATTCTAGATAATCTATAAATTATAAAGCTGTTTTATTAAAGATGAAATCGTAACCTCTTAGCTTACATATATTAAGCTCCCTGAACTTTACCCAGAAATGCACAAACTAGAACAGTAACAGAGTTTCTTACAGGTAAAAGTATGCACAATATTCAACAGCGACATACATTTAAAAAAATCATTTCATTTCAGAATTATTTTCCACTAATACTGCAGTCACCACGATTACCCTAGTTCTTAAATACATTGCTCCAGCTCTTAAACACATTGTTCAGATCCTTTGCTAATCGACAGACTCACCGTCCCCCTGTTTCCTTTTTTTTGTTTTTACAACTAATAAAACTATGTTTTGCTCTCATGCAAGCAAAAATTTTTAACTGTAAAAACATTTTACCGACTGTAGAAAAATAATCCCTGAATAAATCATTTCACGGGAATTTCCCGTAAAAATATTTGTAGAAACATGGTCACAATTTTATTTGTAATAAAATAAACACTAAGAGAAATGAGAGAACCTAAAAATGCATAAGCATTTTCAGAACTTACTGCATGAAAGTGGTATTTTAAGTCCCATGACAATACGCTCCAAGATACTCTTGTTCATATCCAAAATAGTCTCAATCAAATCACCGTCAATGAAGCCATTCGCAACTTCAGACCGTTTCTCTGTTTCAAATGTTCTATACTGAGCATGTGAAATCCGCAAACAATTGCTTACTACTGCAGCTAAACGGTGCTGGATATCCAACAAAAAACTAAAATATGAAACAAAAAACATATACTTCTAACATTTAGAGGCAAACTTTGTCAACCTATCTTTTAGGAACAAACACTTTGCTCTCTGCTCTCTCAAATATTAGCCATCACAAGCAATTCAAAAAATTTCATTCTTGCGCCTAATAATTCTAACTTACAACATCATTGAAAACTGATAAAAACAAATTTACGCGTGAAGAGCAGGAGACAGTTGAACAATAGTTCCTATCCCGCCATCAGCGGTACCATATAATATAGGTGTATGATAAATAGGTGGTACATCAACCTGAGTAGCAACCAAAGATCCATGACAAAATACGTTGACCATTTCACCCAAGTAAAACATTCCTGTTTCCTGGAGAACTGTTCATGAAAATGTGACAAATACCTTTTCCAAATAAAATGCATAAATTGAAGAGGGATTCGCATTTCTAGGGTAAAATTTAAATGTACAAAAATATACAGAAACGTTGGCAGCAAAAGGTTAACCTGCAATCTTGTTCCTTCTTCCTTGTACACTGAATACAGGTCCTTGACAACTGTGAACAGATTATGTGAATTTTCAGCGCCTAAGAAAATTTCTGAATCTATTATTTCACATGCAGACATCCAGTTCGTCATAAAATCCCTTTAAATAGTAAAATAGAATTAGAGGAGTTTCAATAAATACTGCATAAGCAAATGTGATAAAACTAGGATCTTACCTAGCAACTTTTTCAAAAGTTGATTCCATTGACTTATACGAAAGCAAAGAAAGAGACCGCATCAAATCGCCCACCAAAATTAAGTCATTCTTTGTTTTCAAATACAGTGCAGTCACATTATCGAAATCAGAACACTCGAGCCGTAATTCTTTATCAGCAGTCCATTCAAATAATCGCACACAGCTATTGACAGCAACAACCAATTTTCCTGAAAAATTTGTTACTCAATTACCCTGAATGAGCAGTGATAGGAATATAAAAACTTCAACATTGTTATCGTTATTGCTCAATTCTGACAGCACGATGCAAGGAACAGTGAGTGACGAAATGTTAAAGAAAATTAAATTCACACACCATTCATTGGCTGAACTGAATAAGCTGCTCCTTTTATCTCTTTTTCATACACTAAACGCAAACGATCTGACCCTTCACATGCTTGAAACATCATAATGCGGCCCTGAATGAAAAACTGTAAACCACTTAACTATAAAATTGTAATGGGAGTATTTGATATTAGAAAGACAACTATCTCAGATGAAAACGGAACGTAATCGAGTAAACAACCTGTTTAGATTCCGTTTCGTCGGACAAAATTACAGCAGTTCCTACGACATAATATGGTTGGTCATCATTACCAAGCTTACATGAAACCAATGACATTGCCACTTCGTTCAGCTCGAACTCGTGAGAATGCAAAATTTCAAATGTATTCGCATCTAATAATAACAAAGAACTGACCTGAAAAAAGATTTTTTAAAAATTCCAAACTGAAAATTACTTCTGTATTTACTGTCGAAAAATATTTGATAGAATAACTAAACAAAATAAATAAGAAAAATAAATAAACAAAATAAGTAAACAATAAATAACCCATAGAGTGTGAAAAATAATAATATGAAGCATATGCAGTAAAAGCTTACAAAGCTTGTTAACTACCTCCATCTGTTCAGGCCCACATCCAGGCCCAGATTCTCGTTTTAATGCATTAAACCGACCCGATGCACCAAAAACAGTTTTTGATGCGCAATGTCCGACAAAATAATGCTTTCCCATGGAATCCACAAACTGGAAGGTAGTGAAAAACAGAGATGGTATAGAAACCTAATGAAACAAATAATGGAATAAGTAAATATATATACCAGTTTACCTCCATTCGTTCAACAGTTATAACAATTGTATTTGTTTCCTGTTGGTAAGCAATTCGAGAAGGACTTTCTCCCAATGGAACCGTCCTGATATGCAGTTTTTGAATGTCATCAATCATCCCTAAAAACTATTTTAAAGCAAAATTGTAGATGTACGATACAAAAACACCAATTTCGAAAAAACCAAATTCGGTAAAAAATACAAGAACATTAGTATATATGAAAAAAATAAATGTGCAACATTAACAATACTGAAATAACAATCACCCCAGTTAAAGGTGCACAAATGAGATTATGTAAACTAACCAATACACAAAGAATATCCGTCAGTGAAAGCTATTGCGTCAGAATATGCAAGACAATGTAGCGGTGTCATGATCGTAACCATTCTAAGGTTGACATTAGAAAATAAAAGTTTTTGATTTGAGGAATAAATTACTGCTGGACGATCACTACATACAAAAATATTGGGGAATGGAGAACATCGAGACTGAAATTTACGCAACCGTGTAGGTTGTGTCCCAAGAGTAGCTCTTTTTGGTTCTAAGAGTTTTCCTGAAATTTTTGGGGAATTATTGCATTGATGAAAGAGAATAAGAATTCCGAAAGCTAGCACACAAAAGTAAAGAAGAATAATATAAACCCTGCTCTATATCAACATGGAAATAATGCACTGTTCCGTCTCCAAGAGCTACTAACAAATAAAGTGTTTTTTCCATATAACTCAACATAATAGACCGAGAAAGCATATCCCCAGGTATTTTTTCCCGAATCACTTCCTTTAAAAAGGGTAGCTTCAGAAGAGCAACAGATAAATCTGTCCAGTAGCCAATAGCACATAATTCGGATTGCGATGATGCATCTCCTTAAAATAAGTTTTATGGAAATCAAGTGAATCATATCCAACATGCAAACGTTTAATGAATTAAACTACCAATGGTCTCAGAGCAGTCAACTCTCGAGCACATTTTGCATTACATTTTCTGTGAGTTCAATATGACATTGACTAACCAATGGGACTGATATCGAGGCAGGAAATTTCAAAATTGCCCTCGACTTGAGTGATTACACTAATACCATTAACTGTAGCTTCTAAATATATTAAAATAGCTCCACAGGCTAGCATAATTTGACCTGTAATTCAATAACCGTATTTTGCAGTGGTAGTAAATCCATTCCCTTTTATATTTTATTTAACTACTACTTTCTACTCACAGATGAAAAAGTAATTAAGATTCAAGTATGTTTTGTACTTCAGCTAATCCATCACACGTTTGAACTCAAAAAGTTGGCCATCAATTGTCATACACCATTATTATTAGCTTTTTCTTTGTCAAATTCAAATCTCTAACATATATGATCGAAATTTCGAGATAAAAAGCGACAGTAATTTCAAGTAATACGCTAAAAGTTCCACTTCAAGATTTTTAGTGACCGAAATACAAAATCATCATGACTTGATACCAGTTCTATCGTTTACAGCAGCAACTGTAATTCGACTGGGAGCTCTCCATCTCTGAATATTTTCCTCATCAATCAGAATTACGTCTGAGTGAGTAATTTGCAATATTATGTGGCTACGATACAGACAGCCTGCCCAAAGAGTTCCGTCATCAGTGATGAAACCTGTTATAAATAGAACTGATAAATGAAAATTTATTTGGTTTAGAAGAGAGCTAATTGCCATAAGAAGATAATGTTCCAGAAAATCATATAACCTTTTATATCAATCTTTTCTAATTCTTCGCCATTGATAAGTAGTATGTGTGTTGTATCAATAAGACTAATAATTAAATAGTCATCCAGCTCAACATCTTTCAGGCGAAGAGTGAACATATTTTTAATGCCTTTTACTTCTGAAGAAGCCAACTCCTGAATTCCAATGCCATTTCTTATAATGCGAATAGTACCATCCTGAAAAAAAAGTTTTCGCCTTGTCATCGGACATTGACAAAGTTAAAATGTAACACAAAGAATAAAGGAGAAACTTGCCTTGTAAGCTCCAGAGCAAGTAACAATTTGTTGCTGACCATTACACTGCATTACTGTCATGTCCCTTATAGGAGCAAGGTTCGTATAAGTGTCTAACAACGTTATGTAACCAGTACCATCAGATCTTGGTTCTACAAAAATACCCTGAGGATGGAGCAACATTTTTCCAAACTTGAATAATTAATAAAAAATGAATAACAAAGTAAAAAAGCACATTAGTTTCAATAAATGCAATTGAATATAATGATGGTATATCAAACATTTTAACGGTATTTCTATTTTTCCTGACTTTCAGTACAACTCATCATGATAAACATTAAGGGAAATTGGACAAAGAAACAGGATAAAAGGGTGTGAGAATAAAAGAAAAAGGAAAAACTATAAATAACTAGCATGGTACAATCAAGTAAAAACTGAAATAGAATTTTGTGTTATAATAAGACCACACCTGTGCTGAGCCGTATGAGCTGACTATCGCCAAAACGAGAGCCAACAAAGCAAACTCCATTATCCAAATAGCAAAGGCACTCAGCTATACTCGTTATCCCTAAGAATTCGATCTGCAAATTACAAAATTCAAAAGAAAATTCTAATCAATATATGCTAAAAATGAACAGAATTAAAGAACTACTTTACCGTTATATAGTACTTGAAAGAAATTTGGCAGCAAGCCAACTATTCCTACAATTTTAGATGCAATTATAGTTCATCATAGTTTATGAACTTGAGTTCATCATAATATAAGATTAACAAACTGCTCAAAACACTTTGTTGTGTAACATTATTTGCAGATATATAGTTTCAATCACGCCAATTTTCTTTTGATTAATATAAACTAAAACCTTCATGTCTTTGACAAATCGATCACAGTTTCCTCCTTTCTGCTCATTTTGATTTAACTCTAGCAACAACATGTACAAATTACCAGATAAGTCAGCCAACAAATGTCGTTGTCCATCACGATCTACTATTGCATAGCAGTTTGGGTGTGTTCTGCGATATTTTGATGCAGGCATTGGTGCATAGCAAATAGCACTCTCTCCTCCTAAATATTCATCATTAGGCTCTAAAAATTAAAGTATTTTTTTAAATAGAGATGATTTCTGCATTAGAAGAGAAACTGTTAGACTGCAAAGACGAAAAAAAAATTTTTTTAATAAGCAAATATGAATGAGAATGTTATAATCAAATTCTCTCTTTCTAACATTTGCATTAATATTCTGATAATAAAATGAAGCAATTACAGAAAGTCCTAGGCATAATCCTTAACCAAGATTGAAAGCAGTAATAGACAAATAAACTGCCGATATAAAACTTCCAGATGACCAGTGTACAAACATGATACCAAGAGGTATGCTAAGCAGATCAACAGTAAGAATTAGCTTCGTGACGTAATATATTCAACACGATTCTCAGAGCTGTATAACAGCATTAAAAACTCAATAATTCACGAATCAACACTAATAATAAATTGAAAACTAAACTCACCTTTATGATAAGAAACAGCATCAGAGCTAACAACAAGACATCCGCCTATAGGCTGAGGAATCGGAATCACCATACTTGCTTCGCCTTCAAGATGCTCGTGTTTCCAAATAGGCGGGCTAAGCTCCTTGTCTTCCACATTAAGTACTATGGCTTTTAAATGACGACCATTATCATTTTGATATATGTAAGCAATAGTTGGACGGTCTGAAAATCTTTCGTATCAATGTCTATACTGCAAATCAGTTTCTAGCAATATAATTTCTACGTCTTTAACACAACAGAAATCCACCAAAAAAAGGATTGATAGCATGCCTAATAAATGAATTAAAAATGATATCACCTGGATCAGACAAGAAAGCTATATCAATGATGTGCAAATCATCGCATCGAACGTTGAAACCACGGAGATCCTTTCCTTCATTCCATTGTACAACTTTGAGAAGGCCATCGTACAAACGAAACATCAAAAGCTAGATTTGAACAGAAATAGGCAACCTCTACCACTCAATGCTTTAAATTAGCTTCTATTTTTTTATTTATTGTTATAAAAAACTACCAATCAAAACTTTTGATCGGTATTTTTTTATAACAATAATGACATCCTAAGATACACTATAAAACATCTTACTGATGCATAGGTAATTGCTATCATTCCTGTTTCAGATGATCGCCCAACTCGATCTACAATATGTCCAGAGGCTCGAGTGCGAGATTCACCTTTGGCTGTCCAACGAATTATAGCAACATTATATTTTGCTGTCAAAACTAACAAACTATCCAAATTCTGCAACATTTCAGAATTATTCTATTTTTGAAATTCAGGAAAAATTCTGATGTCAAATTATACAGCCAGAATTGTTATGCGACAAAATTTGAAATTAACTTCAAAAAAGAGCAAAACATATAAAGCTTCACACAAATTCACTATTTACTTCAAAAATTAATGTGTACTTTCTAACAAAGAAAATAGATATACATACTTCTCCAGGTGCTCTAAATAATTTCATTACAGCAATACGCCCATATACTGAACAATCTGTATGAGGCTTCAGTCCTTCTGGAGTGACCAGTAAAAGTTCCACTCGATTCGTCTTTGCAAGCACCAAGGTTAGTTCTGTAGGGGACAAAAAATTTCCAACAACAGCATGCGTTATCACTGTCGCTTTTTGTGCAGTTACAATATAATTGAGAGCCATCTTCATACTAGCTTAAAATCCAAAATGCTAGTGATTAATGACGTATATCCGATTTCAAACGAAAACAGCACAATCGTCCTGAATAAACAAATGTATTGAAGCAATTTCATCAACAAAGAATGCCTTCAAGAGTAAAACCAAAAAGTAAAGATTAAAATTAGTTAATCTTACTATATATTCAAATAATATGATAAAACCAGTCCTTGCATTACGTCCCACCAACAAAGCATGACTTCGAAAGTGAAGACTAAAACTAGTCAGCCTTTGACAAATTCAAATAATTTGTTAGAACTAGCCTACATAGTAAAATTATACGGTCCCACTAATGAAAATTATACATCTCAAAAAATATTTAGAAAAATTATGATTTACTTAATAAGATGTAATTATCAAATAGTAATTTGTACAAATTACTGATAGTCGAAGATGAAGTAACTAGTGATTTGAAATAATGATTCGTGAAATAAAGGTAGCACCTAATCAAGAATAAGAATATGAAGTGAATGATTATGGAAGATATGTTTCTTCTAAAAACTTTTGTAGTTGCTATTCACCAGTACGTTCAAAAATAACATATACGATACTTGCATATTCTGAGCAAACAGTGTGCAAAGATATTAGACTCTTGATCTTAATTCAAATACTTGGCAAGAATTTCTGATCTACTATAGAATATTCTCAGAGCATTCCATTGTGAAGTTATCTTTTTATCAAAGTAAACACGATAATAAAAGTTATCAGAATACACAAAGATACAATTATTTTCTGCACTACAAATAAAAATACATTGAAGATCGTTGCATTAATTTTTCTTCAGTTTCTATATTCTCGTTTGCATTCATATTTTAGTTTGCATTTCGTGTTTATTTTACAGTACAGTAAATTAATTATGTGAATTATAACAGTCTTGAGCTAAAGAATACAAGATATAGCATGATGAATGATGAATATATTCGTCAAAATATAGCTTATATTAAGGCTAGACTGTAAGCTTACATTAGAGCAATTTAATTGATATTGCATTTGAATTCTTTAGGCAAAATTTTTTTCCATTATTTTCCACAGTACTAGACTAGGCTTTATGATTTATATATTCAATGTATCATATGAATAGTTAATCTTTAATTTTCTCAAAAAATAGCATTTACTGCATAAAGTTAGTATTTTAATCAAAAAAATACGGTCCTCTTACTTTCATCTTGATTATCATACAGTAATTTATTGAAGTGAGCTGAAAAAGTAACAGTAATACGAAGGATAAATCTGGCACTTGATATGTTCACAATGCTAGTTTTAAGAGCAATTACTAGAAATTTTGTGATTCATAATCTTAAGATAATCTACGTCAATTATTCTGAAGTACGATTATTCAATCAGTCTTCAAGGGTCTTTTAAAGTATTGAAGCTTTGAAATTAATATTAAAATTACAAAAATGAAAAAACATCTTTAAAAAAAATCCACACCTCAAAGCATTAATATATGATCATATGAAGAAAATTAGTGAAGTGTGTATGCTTTACAAAGCAACAAGTTTTTTGTAATGTGTGTTTGGAAATACAATGCTAAGGAAGCAGGTGGTAAATTACAGTCTGTACTAATTAATGAATATAGCCAATTATGCTATATAATATCAGAAAGTAAAAGAAACTCGTACAGTTTGTAATACATTGATGTAATATGATAGTACTAATAGAAGTACTGTATGTTTGCCTATTCATGCTTAAAAAGTTAGCAATGCTTGAAATAATTGTTATCATTTTAATAGAGTTAATTGTAAAAATACTAATCTTATCAGTGAGCTGCTATTCATTAGCATTACTCAGTTAGTACAACATGTAGAGTATGCATGTAGCATTATGAATTATTGTGATATTAATTTGAAAAATAAGCTTAGTCTAACAAAATACTTACTAGACTAGAAGGAAATGAAAGCGTATAGCAAGTTAGCAAGTATAGCAAATATCTAGGAAGCAAGACAAATCAATATAAGCAAGCTGAGCTTTTTGCTTTCATTTATCATATTTGTTCGTATAAAAATAAGAGCTGACCAATTGAGTAGTAAATTATGTCTCAAAATCTCTTTGCATTATTTTCCTACGTGTAAAACTGCTTCTACCCAGCCAGGCATTATTATAAATTACTGTGCTAGCAGCTAAACTATTCTTCATTATCTGCTAACTACAATTAAATAATGCATTCAGAGCTCAGCGTTTATCTTCATCTTTCTCTTACACGTCTACTTTCTCAGCTACTTCATTACTTTCCTCGTTGTTAGTGGCTACTCTCTCTAGCCTTGCTTATCATCATTTGATCACTTTTTCTACTTTTATTTATCAATAAATGAATACTTTTGTTCACTGCATAAATAAATAATCACTATTCCAAAGCTATAATTAATAAGTAAATATCAAAGATATCATATGCTAAAAGCATATATATCATCATAGCTACTCTGCTAAAGCGTAAAATAGAACTGCTAATATTTTTAATGAAATGTATTAAAGTTCTATGCATATTACAGATTATTAAGTGACATAAACTTGCGAATTTTTAATCACTGCCGTCAAAGAGTACGTTATTTACTTTATTCTAAATCTTGATGGCTTATTTTCTTGATCAAATAAAATCTTTTACATAGCAGTAAAACTTTTATCTCCAATTCCTTGCATATGTTTACTCGATTTCATTTACTGAAGTAAGTTTTCATTCTTTTCATTTTTTCTCCAAATTTTTTTATTATTATTACTTTGCTAATTCAGTTAAGTGATAGCATCACCATGTTTACTTTATCAGTACAAGACAGTCAACTTGTTGACGATTTTTGTATAATTAAATTTTTTTAAAATCTTATCTATTTCTCTGAAATTTTATTCATAAAAATGTTTGTAGATTGTAAAACTGTGCAGCAGCAACTTTATTTGTTTCATTATTCATCTCAAACAATAAAATAAAAATAAAAAACTACTTTAAAAAATTTAATTTTTTGAAAATTTCTTTAAGAAATAATCTATTCAGATAATATTGCAAAGCATACTTGATTAAAATGAAATTTTTTTTAGTTTTTCAAGACAAGCAATAATATTTATCATACTGAAATACTGATTTTCATGTGGAAGAAAAAAAACTGCAATTTTTCACAAAAAAGTCAAATAAACTACAAAACAAATTAATTATTATGAAAAATTTTACTGTTTTTCAAAAAATTTTTGAGTTCATCATAATGAACTACAAATTGTAAAATTTTAAAGTTACTCATAAAGTTACTTAATTAACTAATTAATTACAGGTATGCAAATTATTGATATCTAACTCATTTCAATTTCAGTTAAAATGTTTTCACATAAAGCAATTTATTGGTTATGGGTACCATTATTGCTGATTCTTTTACTACAGATAAATATGAGTTCAAGAGCAGAACAGCTCTCAGTAGAGTAAGTTTCAGCCATTTTTAGATAAAATTAAAAAATTTTTCTTCTTATTTCTATTCAGTACTTTTAAATTATTATAAAGAATAAGTAAGTTTTCAACTTCCTTTGCAGTTAAAGTTTTTTACAGTATAGAAAATTGGGCCAACATTCTGAATGAGCAATTACTAGAACTATTTGCTAGTGCGACAAAAGAAACTGATATTATCAGGGTATGCCTTTTAATTATTACTTTCTTTCATTTATCACATAGTGATAATTATTTGCATTGCTGCTTTTGACATAAGAATAAGTAAAAAAAAAATAAAAAGAAGTTAATAACAAAACAAAATTATTCACAAAGGATGTGAAAAAGTAAAACAACTTATATTAATATTTGTTTCTAATTTTTTTGGTTGTAAAATGAATGTTAACTTCAGTCTTTATCCCGCAGAAAATTAGAGTACTAAATTTATTATCATTGCACCTCACGTGAAAGGATGAACAATTAAACGAGGTATCATGATTAATGTAACGTGGAATATTTTAGATGTACAGAAATTATGGTGAAGTCGAGACATTTGATTCTCGAGTAGAGCTTAGACGAGCAAAAAATGTCATTGAATCATATTTGAACCGACGTACTAAAGCTGCATGGGTAAGATTAGCTACTATTTTTTTTTTAATATTATTCTATATTTACACAAATAATAATAGTAAATAAGGATGTAATGCTTGTTGATTTGTACAAATTTTTAGAAACTGAATGAAAAATCATCAAGTGATTAATATAAGCAGTTAGAAAAAGCAATACATGTGATTAATTGCTGTATGTATAAAGATGTTACGATTTTATTAGAATTATGCTTAAAATTCAGGACGCTAAATTATCACTGGAATCTCGTCATTTGGCTAATTTTACTGAAAATGACGTGAATGATCCAATGAGTGCTCATTTCATACGTTTTATGTCTGCTAAACAAGAAACTGATGCTGCTCGTGTGCATGTGCATGATCATACTGGGAACGTCATAGAGGTTACTGCTACTAATTGCATATTGTTAATTACATTCATAATAATCATAAGTAGTTGCGAATAAAAAATTTAACTTTGTGATAGGAAATTAATGCACTATAAATTTAGCAAAAATATTCTTACTTTCATTATTTTTGTTGGTAGTATTTGAATAAATTTTAATGTCACATAATTCTATACAGTAATAAAAGTGAACAAATCTCGTTTACAATGTTTGATTTCATTTAATTATAATTCATTGCTTTCTTTTTTTACATAGGTAAGCAGTACACGACGATTTAATTTAACTCCAAATGCTAATTTCTATGGTATTCCAACTAGTTCACTCTCATCTGCTGTTCACATTCCTACTCCAGTCTATGATAGAAGTAAAATTTGCTTTAGTTACTTGTTGGATTACTTCATCAAATTATAATTATTTTATTTTATAGTAAAATTTTTTGATAAGAAACAAAATTTGTCTTGCTGATTGGTATTTCGTTCAGTACTTTTTAATGCAACAAATTTTAATATTTATTTCTTTTTTTAAATGTTTAATTTGGCAGTAATTTTCGGTCGTACAACTTTTTTGCTTCAGTTTACAACCAAAAAATCTTTCTTAATAATTGGTTGAGTTCCAAAACTTTAATTATCAAATTTCATTCTATATTTACTTCTTAAAATGCAATACTTAGATTAAAATAAATATTTTTAAGATCCAGAAGTGCTAATGAAAATAGACTGGTCTGATATAGATCATATATATAGAGCAAATAAAGATGAAACGCGTGATTTAGCTTTTCAAATGTTTTGTTCAGAATCTGGTTTCATGCGGTACTATCCAGGTGAGTACTAACTAGTATGCTTTCTCAGTAATCAAGCTTTTATACTTTTTGCTATAAATTTTGCACTTGATCAATCACCAGTTTAAGATTAAAAAAGATTTTTCAATATTTAATATTCAAATGATATTTTAGAGTGTTACAAACTATAATATTTCAGCAGTGTCATGGGTATGGGATAATCGTGTAGATAAACTTGATTTGTTTGATTGCAGAAGCACAGAATGGTAACATGCATAATTTTTAAATGTCTAATATAATAATTTTTACTTCTTATATTCATTCAAAAGAAGCTTACAAGTATTTTAAAATGTGCTAAGAAAATTTTGTGCATACTGCAAGCAGGAAAACAAGATTGCATTACAAATTAATGTAATTGTTTTAAGCTTTTTTGGTTTTGTATAGTTTCAAAAGCTATTTCAATTTGTGAACAAATATTCACTTCTCATGTTATCATGTTTTAATTTACTCTCTAGGTATATAAATGCAGCAACTTTGTCCAAAAATGTAATTATAATGCTAGATATGTCGGGTTCAATGCTTGGTCAACGCTTTGAAATAGCCAAACAAACTGTTGAAGCGATATTAGAAACGCTTTCTGATAATGATTTTTTTAATATATTGCCAGTTAGTGCTTATTTACTTAATGATAATTACTTAATGTTTATATGCAAAACACTAAAAATCATTGATTCTAATTGTAAATTTGTTTTGTAGTTTTCAAAAACAGTTGGATTTTTGGATGAGTGTAGTGAAAAAGCTGGACTATTGCAAGCAACTGTTCGCAACAAAAAGGTTTATTAATTTTGCTTTGTAAAATTTTTAATTGTTTTGTATATTTGAGTAGACTTTATGTAAAATTATTAATTGTACTTTGTGTTCATTATTAAGTAGCTGTACAATTTTCGCATAGAAATTAAGATTTGAAGTAGATAATGTTTTAGATGCTGAGAGCAAGATTGAATGGCATGTCGTCAGAAGGAAAAGCTGAGTACGAAAAAGGCTTAATTAAAGCATTTGAAACGTTAATGAAAGTAAGCTGTTTGTAGTTAAAATTACGTACAATAACACTTTGATTTTGATACAAAAAAAGAAAAAAATTTTTTCATTTTTTATTTTTCAATGCATTCATAAACGAAGAAGAAGTGAGATAGCAGTGTTGTGGCTTCGCTTTTATGCTTGATTTGTTTTGTGGTGAAAATGCTTCAAACTAAAACCAGTGTATATAGTTCACGCTTTCGTAAACTGTGTTTAATGTCCGTTTTTAAAATTATCATACGTATAATTATATCATCAGCATTTAGTATATTAGCATTTTTTTGATTATAGGCTAATTTTGTTATATATGATATATTATTTAGATAAAAAATATGCAATTTTGTTTTTAATAAATGCTAAATCTGTTAGCTTATATTTATGTCTTATTCTATTTAGCCTTTGTAAGTAGAGTGTCACTGAGTGAAACTAGCATGAAATTGATATCAAGCTTATTTTTGTTATCGTTTTATTTATTTATTTATTTATTTATTATTATTATTATTATTATTTTTGTTTTGCCGCTTTATCTCACTTTATTGTGTCTCCTTCACATACAGCTTCCTGGATCAGTCAATTTTACAACACTTGAAGAATTGGCTCAACGTCGGGAATTAGCTGGTGGTACATTACCTACTGATGTTCATTATATCGAAGTTCAAGATCATATTCTTGTAATTCCAAATCATCTTTATCAAGCGGTAAGTGAAACGATACGTGTAAAATTTTTTCTGCCACTGAAACGATAAGTGTAAATGATGCTTGTTATTAAAAATTTTTGCTATAAAAATTACATCAAGCTATGATTGTGAGCTCACCGCATGTGTTGCTTTTTTTTCATGCATTCATTTTTTTATACTGCTCACAAAACACTTCAGAAATGATAGTTAAAAAAACTACAGTCTTTGCTACAAGGAAAGGTCAATTTTATGTTTATCACTTTAAGGAAGTTGATTTTTAACACGACTTAATGTATAAGTTTATAAATTTTCATGTTTTCAATCAAAAATTAGCCTTTGCCAGTGAGAAAAACCAAGTGATCACGACTGATAAACAGTATTGTTTTTAACACTTCTACTATCACGTGTTAAGTAAGGTCTTTAAGAAAAAAAAAAACCCAAAATTATTGGTTAAATTGTCGTAAAAGAAATCAGGTAGCAATTCAAAAGTATAATTCAAAATATTATAAAGTAAAAATTTGCGCAATCTTTCAGTGTTAAAGGAGTATTTATTGCAGATGCGTAATTATACAGGTAAAAAGGCGCAGTTCGGATGTAACGATATAATTATGTTAATTACTGATGGAGCACCAAATTATTTCAAGCAAATTTTCCAATTATATAATAGAAATAAATCAGTAAATCATTTAACAATTCCAGTATTGCAGTATTTATTTTAATTATGCATATATGTTGTATTATGATATGTAGTTTAAATTATAAAATAAAAGAAATCCATGAAAGGCTTACTTTTTCAAACATTTAATACCTTATTTATTTTCGCTGATTTGAAATTAATTACCTTTAGTTGGATGTGTATATGAAATATGTTATTTTTGTAGGTCCGTTTCTTTTCATTCCTCATCGGAGAAGAAGCAACAGATGTATCTCAAGTAAAATGGATGGCTTGCGAAAATAAAGGCTTTATGGTGCATATTAGTAATTTGGCTGATGTTCAGGAAAAAGTTCAGGTATTTATTGTTTTTATTGTCATGTTTTTCATTACTTTTTATCAGCTTCTCAAGTATCACAGTTTAAAATTTGCATTATCAGCTATAAGCTTATTAATAATATTAAATGTAGTCTTGATTGATTTAAACATTTAACAAAATTTGTAATTGATTTTTAATTAAAAATTTGTTTAATATTTAGCATTATATCAAAGTAATGTCTCGACCTGTTGGTAAATATGGTAAGAATTTTGGTGAAAGAGATGCTATATGGAGTGGTGTATATAAGGAGCGACTGGTATGCTTTATTGTTTTTGGCAATAAATCTTATTACTTGTTAATATCAAAATTATATTCAAAGATATAATTAAATTGCTAATAACTAACAATATTTTTTTCAGCTTACATTGGATCAAAGACCCGTAAAAAAAGTTAGTTTTAAATAATTATTATTTCAATAATTTACTAATAACTGTTGAAATTTTAAATGAATTTCTTATATTTTATAAAACTAAAAATGAAATGCAAATATTAATTTTGATGGTTTTAGGTTTCGCGTGTTAGGCGTATCGATGCAAGGGTTATGCTTTCTTCAAATATACTTCAAGATTTGACTTTTGTTTTTGTTTTTTAAAATTTATTCTTTTTTTTTTCTATGTTTTCGTAAGTTCATTTTTCATTTTGTATTTAATTTCACTATTTAAAAACGATTTTATTTACTTCATTATAAGGACTTTATTTTTCATTGTATGCTAATTTGAAAGTTGAAATTAATAATCTAATTTGAAAGTTGAAATTAATAATCTAGATTTATTTAATTGCTACCTTTTTCTATTTTTCATCCAAAATTAATGCTGAACATTACTGCAGAAATATTTTTGATAATTTTAGACAGAAAAGCTAGTCACTACTGTAAGTTATCCAGTGATTCAAAATGAGCAGTTAATGGGAGTTGCTGCAATTAGCGTACCTGTCACCGAATTATCACAATTGGTTCATTCCGTAAATGTAAACCTTTTAGTTTTTTATTCATTTTGATGAAAAAATTACTTACCATCACACTTCAGACAAATTTCAGAATTTAGAATAAACGAATTTGTGATTCATTGATAAATTTTACTTGAGTTAGTATAAAAGATTTTGTAGATTCAATATTTTATGTGTGTTAGCAAAATTTTGTTTAATTACAGTTAGGAAGTCGAAGCTATGCATTTATGTTGGATAATAATGGTTATGTGATGTTTCATCCACAAATGCGTCTTTTAGTAAGTGTGATTGAAAATCTTGTGCTATAAGTTCTATACTTTACGATTGCTACTTTGTTATTGCTAACTTTATTATTTAAAAATTTAATGATTATAGCAAAAAGTATTTTATCACCTAAAGCTCCACTATATGGGTTTCAGGATCCTGAAACAAAACAAGTGAAGTTAAACTACAATAATATTGATATTTTGGAGCTTGAAGTTCCACAAAATCAACAATTGGTTTGTTGTCTGTTATCAATTATTTTTAAAATTTAATAAAACAAAAATTTAGTGTTTGTGAAACATTTTTGTGGGCTTGATAAAATTTCCTACATAGTCGTAGTACTCTTAGTGCCGTATTTATTGTCGTGAATATAATTTTCAAATTTATTATCAATTCTTTTAGTTGAGCGATCATTTATCAGTGAGGGATCGTTTACAGTATGATACTAGTGAGGTAAAATTCTGTATGACCAGAGTTATGCTCTTTTTCAGTGTTATTTACGCATGTATCACTTTTGCCATAATTTCTCCTTAAATTTAACATGTGATACCAGTTGAAGAAGTAATATTTTCATTATGTAATTTTAGCAAAAATTTTTGTAAAAAAAATATGCTTTGCATGATTGTGCATAAGTACTGTAAATGTTCTATTCATTGCATTGTATGCATATTTATTCTATGCTTATTTCTTTTTCAATCAAAGATTTTATCCCATTTTTGCCCTTGTAGTTTTTCCCATTGTTTATTGTTTTACTCTTAGACTTGTAATTGTGGTCATAATTTTTGCGTGTAGAAGACTTGTTGTAAGAGAGAAAGTTTGTGTTTAAAGTTGGTTCAATTTTTTTTTTCTTTTGTAAGTTTTGGTACTGAAAGGAGAAAATGAATAAATTTGAAAATTTTGTTATGTTCAGTTTTGGTTTATTTCATTGCTTTAAAAAAAAGTAAACGTGATTGTTTTAGATGCGTGGTTCAATGATTAATTGTGATAATAATGATGCACACGTTTTGGATATTCTTTATGCTACTTCAGACTTGGCAAGCATTCCATATTTTTTATAATTTTATAGCTACTTTTTTTTTTAGATTAAGCATATAATTATTATTGTGTTAGTATTTTAGGAACGTGTTTATCGTCAGACAAATACTTATTATTCTGAATGCTTGAAGCATTCACTTTTTACGTATGTTATTTTTTGCTTTTTTTTTTGCTTTGAAAATTGACATAATAATAAAAGGTTTTTGTGAATTTAAAAATTAGAGACAATGAATTTTGAAGTTCAGTACAATTTTAAACTTGTTTTTTTGTAATTTGCAAATAACAACACCATTTTATTCAATGAGAATATCAACCGAAAAAAAAAATTAATTCAGCAATTTTATCATTATTTTTATTGTAGTATTGGAATGGCAGTTGCAAAAGGTGATGAAAAACGAATTAAGCCTAGAAAAGAGATTAATTATGGCGATGTGAAGTTACTATGGTATGATTCTCCAAATTGGCTCATGCATCCAACCTGGTACAGTTTTGCTTTTGGTTCTCAACTTTACTTATTTACTTTGTTAAATTTATCAGACATGTAAATGACGTTATTACTAATTGTTTGCTTGCAAATCACTGCTGATTTTTTTAAGCAAATATGTGCGTGCATATACAACAAGTTGAAACTTTATTCAAGTCTTTTGGGATTTATTGTTTGAGCAATGAACATTTTGTCTATTCATTAATATTTATTCTTACTTATTCACTATCAGGCTTTACTTCAAGTACAATTATCAGAAAATGCAAAAAAAGCAATGAAAAATGCATAAATGAAAAAAAAAACTAGCAATACTAAAAATCACTGCTAAGCATTGAGTTTTTTGAAATAATTTGCTCAGACATTGATCATATGGCGGGAAAAGAAACCTGTTTCAAAGTCTATTGCAACTTTTTGAATCCCCATTCAGAGTTTATTCAAATATTAGTGCTAATTTTTTTAGAATTAAATGTAATCTTATCAAAATCTAAAAAGCTTCGTACTTGCAAAAACAATAACATTACAAACATCAATACTAATTACTTATTGAATCAAAATATCAATGAAAAAAATGAATTCAACAAATAATCTTTTATCAAAGTATATATTAATATATTTTTACACTAATGCTTACATTTTTTTTTCAGGCGATACTGTCTTCTAAACGACAGTGATGCATTTATAACGCCTGAAGCTGCATTTCGTACTTATGCACGACAGATGAGAATAGAAGGCCGTTTACCAAAGCTTTGTGAATATCGGAAGCCACTTGTAGATCGATTTCTGTTTGATATGAAAGTAACAAATGGTTTAACAAATTTATGGGATATAAATTGGAACGAAAATAAAAAGTGCGTTTGTTTAAGGCTAAAATTTGTTATGTACAAAAAGTAAAATGCAAAATTGCAATCAAATTTCTGTTCAATTTCAGAATTGTAAAGAATCAAGAAAGTTTACTTGAAGCTATTGAATATCTTAACAGAAGAATTAAGTGAATAAAACGTGTGCACTTTGTCAATACTTTATTTTTACAAAATTTTTTCTCATGCACAAAAGAGATGAAGGATAATTTTTTGTAATTGCAGAAAACAAATTACTCTTGTATGGTTTGCTACTACTTCGGGTATGATAAAATATTGGGATGAATTACCAGATGGCTTGGCATATGCAAATCCAAATTGGTCACCAACAGCTACATCTGCAGCAATTCCTACACTGAAGTCTTCTACAATGGGTAGTCAAAGCACAACACAAAAGCGCGTCTTTATTTACTTAATTTCAATTTAAAATTAATTAAATAATTTTTGAAAAAATATTCTATACAAATTCTTTTTCAGAAATTAAAAAAAAATTTTTTCTTAATTTTTGTTTAGTTTGTTTATAAGCTATGTAAAGTATTAAGCTTATGACTTGTTGGTAGTAGTCTGGAAATAAACAAAACATTTTTAGTTTATTCAGATTCTAAAGACATAGTTTATTTAATTTATGAGATAGTAAAAAGGATTTATTGATTCAAAATATTCATTATTCATAGACAAAAAAAGATTATATTCATAATAATTATTCAAAATATGGGAATTATATGGTAAGAAAAGAATATATTTGCAGAAATTATCAACACTTCATCAAAGATCTCAATAGTCGTTCCAGCGAAGATCAGTACTTCCAACGTAGTGTTCGTATGCCAAGACGTTTGGTTGTTGATGTAAATAAGAAAAGTATGCATTAATTAATTAAATTACATATGACAATACTTGTACTTACGTTATACGAAGCATGTTTTAGGTCATCTGTGGTACAAAAAAGAGATGCAATCAGTGTTTGGATATTCAGAAAATGCATCACTTCTTTTAACAATTACCAAAGCATTAGATATAGAGGGTGCAGTGATTGGTGTAGCAGGAATGGAATTCACTCTCGATCACTTAGCTAGAATTATGAAAAAATTTGGATGTGGACCACAGGCAATAATTAATTAACTTTGCTTTTCACTTCATTTCAAATTGCATTCAAATTATCAATTTAAGAAAAAATGTATTATAAATTCGATTATTATTGAAATTTTTCATGATTTGTTACAGGATGAACGTCGCTGGTGTTTTTTATTAGATGAGCATGCATATATTGTTTATAGTAGTTTGAATACTACAATAAATAACGCTGGAACTAGTGATGGATATATAGAAGATGATACTGGAATTGCACGAAATTTAAATTTGCTAGGACGGTGGTTTGGGTCATTAAATCGAATCACAGAAAGAACAATGACATTATTGGTAAAAAATAATTTTTACTCCGAGTAAGTTAATTTTAATACTATAAGTTACTGATCAATAGTTTAGGGATTTACTGTTAATAAAGAAAAAATAACTTGCATTATAGTTTTGTCTGCAAAGAAATATCATTATTTTCTTTCAAAACTTTTATCATTGGCAAATGATTTTACTTTGAAGTTTGCAAAAGATTCGATGTAAACGTAATAATACGTGATGATATGAATTACTTATCATAATGCTGAAGCTAATATATGCTGTTAAAAAATGAGCTTTATCTAGCTTTATTCGTTGTTGCTTGTTTGTAGAATAACTTATGTTGATTATCAAGCAGTTTGTAAGCAAAGTGAAATTGTTATGTATACAGCTGGATCCGCTCAAAGGGTATGACGATTATTTTATTATGTAAAAAATGATTTAATGTTATGAGTATTGAATTTGATTAATTTTACTAATTAGCGTAGAATTATTATAGAGATTAACTTTCAAATACAAGTTCGAAACAAAAAATTATAGCCTCATTTAAGATTCACATATGTCCTTCATTTTGTTCAGTATAGTTTAGGGTAAAAATTTCTTTTTTTTGTTCAGATTAGTGCATTAATTGAGTCATTGTTATGGATTTGGAGTCGATTACTTGTACTGCTGCAAAATTTTACAATTATACAGACGTTTACATCACTAATGCATCCTTACGTAGCAGGTAAAATTAAATTTACATGTATTTATTTTACAAAGCATAAATTTTAATCTTGCGAAAATTTTGTGATTTACCAATAAATTATTCACTAATAATTCATATAAAGTTTTGATTTAAATAATAAATGCTCTACAGCATATACAGCAACCTTTACTGGTGATACTGACACATTTTCATGCGACAAAGCAGCGAAGTATTATTTAGCTAATTGGGGTATTGAGAATTGGTCTGGTCAGAAAATGCCTAAATCGTCAACATTAAATGTGAATAATTTGGCAGAACGTCCATGCAAGCACAATCCAGCTAAATGCGCAGTGTAAGCTAACTTAATTAATAATTATTATGTTCATTTTGTTATAATTTTTGATTACTTTTTTGAAGACTAATTTTGATGAATGCTTTCTTTACAGCAAAATGTATGCGCATTGGGTACCAAATACGAATCTATTATTTGTTATTATCGCTCAAAATAATCCAACGTTCACTTCATCTACTTGCTATGATGAAACGCAATGTCCATTATCAGTACCATCTGAATTCAAAACGACTTTCAGTTCGGTAAAAATAAAAACTTTTGTGCTTCAAAATCAAGAAATAAAAGTAGCAATAAAAAATCAAGTAAAACATATATCCTATATATATATATATATGTTTTGAACATGAATAACATTGTAGAATTTTTATACCTCAGTGAAACAAATATCGAATTATTTTCAATTTATCAAAAAAAAAACTAAAATAATTCAGGTATTTTAATAAGAAAACATACTTGCATAATGTAAAATGAATAAGTAACATGCAATTACTTACAGGTAGATAATGCTTCGGATAAACAACAAGCAAGAAATTCAGTTAATAGTAACTCAGATGAGGCATTATCAAAAAATATGAATGACAGAAAATGTCGACATGTTCGAGCTAAGCAACGCAAATCGCCTTCGAAATGTATTAACTCAAATGAGGTTAAACTGATAAATTTGAAAATTTTTTAAATTATTGAAACAGTAGTGACATATTTTATTCAATGATAAGTGCTGACATCAAACTTCTTTTTATGTAAATAAATAAATAACTGATAAGTATTAATTTAAAATTATTGAAACAGTACTGAACGCAAAAATACCAGATAACATTGTATGTTATTTTTAGGATGAATCGCAGTATCCTTGTTCCCAAATGGCTTCTCGTTTAGTAGTGCGTAAAAGTATTGCGTTAATTACAGTAATATATAAACTTTTACATATGTTATAGTGTAACTGTTGATTGGTATGGTGTTAGGAATTGTTTTTAATGCATATCGTTTATTAAATTTGATTGCAATGATACATATTTGTAAAACTGTTTTTAATTTATAAGGGATTCAGTTTTTTTTCCAAAATGAAATAACTAATTATTTTTTGAATATTATTTGAAATTTCTATTTATTGTATTTTTATCACGGGTAATCAATTAGTACAAATTAACGTGTGTAGAGATATCTGCCAATTCAATTTGTTCTATTCTTATATTATGTAAATGTAAATGTAAAGTAACTTTTTTTGTACATTTTTGTGGGCAAAAAGAATTCATTCGCTTGACTTGGCTATTACCACTGTTTTCATTCAAATGAACGACAATCAAAATAGCCATATATGCACAATAATACAGAATTCTACATTTAAAATAGTATTTGCTCTGTTGGATGCACAACACGATCATGTTCTGATCCTAGAATTGGAAGTTTGATCTACTACCGTTGTGTATTAGTGATGAATTTTTGTATCTATCAATGTGGGAATATAGTTTGTGGGTGTTTTCATTTTGTTTTGATCATATGGAAATAATTAGATAAAATATACTGATGATATCATAAAAATATACTGATAAAAACAGTAAATTTGAGGGGAATATAAAATAATTTTAGTGTAAAAAAACAACAAATTTATGGACTATTGAAACAAAAATACAAGCTGATTATTAAGCAAAAAAAAGGTAATTAAAATATAATATGATTAAAAATTAAATACTTGAAGAACTTCAAATTTATATTCAAATAATTTATTAAAAATGTGAATGAATGAGTGACAAGGAAGTAATATCATAAATGTGTATAAATTTGAAAAAGAAGATAACAGTAATAATAGCAAGTATGGAAGTTGCATAATAGTAACGATGGTTATTTGAATTCCATTCTTAATAATTGCTAAATAGGTTTTCAACGAAGAAGCAACTTTTAAGCAAGATGCAATAATAAGCAAAATCAAAGTTTGGCTATGAGCTAAGTCTATCAAAGAGAAAGTAAATAGTTTAAGCTTTGCTTCATTATGCTAAGTAAAGATTGAGATGGCAGTATGGCAACAACTGTTGTCTAAAGGGTTATTGTCCAGAATCTAGTAGTCATTTCTGAAGAAACGAACTCCATACAATACTTTCTTCTTCAAAGTTTGTATTACTTTTCTCTTTGCTATTATTTACTTTTCTCTACACATATACGTATGCATTATTTCATTTATTTATTGCATTTAATGATTTATTTACATATTAATTAAATCCATTTATTTATTTATTTATTTATTTATTTATATATTTATTATTTATTTATACGTACCATTTATTTTAAAATTCAGAGCAACATCGATTTACGGATTTCTAGTCCATAACACTTTTGGCACTTTTAAGAAGTAACTCTTTAATTATATCTCATCCATACATACCACTTTTAATTTCACTTTTATCAGTTAATTTGTGATGGAATAATTTTTGATATCTTAGCTAACAATTTTGTCGTCGTAAATAATTATTTTGGAATCAGAATTTGGTCAAAAATACTTGGCTGAAATCAACTGCTCTCAAAAAATTACTTTTATTATCCTTATACTTTAATATTTTGCTTTATATTCATAAAATGTAATATTAAATACTGCAATAGTATTTGTAATCATATCAATAAACTTGATTTAAAACTAAAAAAACACATAATTTTATTAGTGACATGTACTTAATATTCTTCAATTAACAACAAAAAGCAACTTTTAATTATTTTAATTTTTTACAAAAAGAATAATAACCTTTAATTTTTTTTATATTTAATATTTTCTGATAAGAATTATATATTCTATTTTTAGTTGCGAGAAAAATATCGAACTTTTGCATAACTTTTTTTTCCTTAAATAAGTAAATCATTTGCGATTTTTTAGAATTGGCAGTGATTAAAATAAAATTATCTGGTATGTTATAGGCAGCACATAGTAATGATTTTAGAAAGGTTTAATTAATTTGCATAAATTTTATATCCAATCGACATCTTTTCAATAAGCCACTGTTGACAAGGTTGTGTGAGTGCTTAGTACTCTAAGATCGTTGATTCTAAACAAGTTTATTTGTCTCTATAGTGGTGATTTAGTGAGTATTATGGTTTAGTTTAGAGTAGCATTATTTATGTAAATAATTAAAGCTGCTTACTACTGAATAAATACTTTTGATCGCATGAAAATTTGTTAGCGATTTTATTTTTTGAAAAATTCCAATTTTGTAGTTTTTAATTGCAACTGTATTAAACAAAAAACAACAGCAATAAGTGATAAAAAATGCAACCAGATAAACTAACTTATCATGGAATCACTACCATTTTTTTATCATTCTTCTTTTAGTTTTAATAAAAGTTACTGCGATGAAATGCCGAATATATTTTGTTTATTCTTTTTATTATGCACAAATTTTGCATATAATCAAATCAACACTTATTTAATTTTGTAGTATCGTAGTAATTTCGTTTGTTAATTAAAGAATATTTATATTTTAGGAGTATAATTTTTATTTCAAAATCATTTAATTGTGAAAGTTTTCATTATCGAAATTCAATTATCATTTATAATATTAGGTGCGTTTTTTCTCTTTTTTCTTACTTAATTATCATTTTCAGAAGCAAATTTAAAAATAGTTTGATAAATTTGAAGTTAGATTAAAGATGCAAACTTTGATACAATTTTCAGTGCCAAATTTAATCTGCACATTGGTTGTAGCGAGAAGGAAAGGAGAGAATAGATGAGATAGATGGAATAAGTAATTATAAGTAATTCTAAATTGCATATTTCGAATGAAAGATTTATTTTGACATAACACGAAAAGTTTGATATCTTTACAAAAAAATACAATAATGTAATTTTTACTTTATTGAATGAAATAATGTAATTTTTACTTTATTGAAGATATTTTGAATGAAAAAATTGAGGAATAAGTAGTTAGTTAGTTAGTTAGTAATGCATATGATTGTAGCTTAAATCTTATAGAATAAACTATCTTTATGAACAAGTCATTAAAACTTTTTTCATTCTTATTATACATCTTTGTAAGCATTATAAGCTATGTAATTTTTGCATTTACATAGCATTATGAATGTTTGCTGAGTTATTATTAAAATAGATATAATTGTTTAATATTTCCTAAAAACAAAATAACAAATATCAAACTATTTTATTCTAAAATTTAAAAAAAAGAAAATTTTTTTTGAACTTATATATTATAAAATTGCATAAGTATTATAAATTATTACTTAAGTATAATTAAGTACAATAATTGTAATGATTTTTTGATTAACTATTAAAAATATATACTTGAGATTTTGCTTACAGGACGGACTAGAGAAATGTAGTAAAATAAATTTAAAATTAGATATTATGTACAAGAATCATGAACTGATTATGTTTTCAAGGCATGTCAACATTTATTAATAGAATAAATTTGCTCGTTCACTTATTTGATAGTAAAATTTGCTTGATTTTAAACTCACAAATAGCACATTGATTAACAGTTACAGATATTGAGCAGTATGAGAATGCCCAGGAGATTACTGTGATTTAGTGAGTAGAAGGAAAGAAATTTCTTATATATAACATCTCAGGCAATCACAAAGTAATTATTACATAAAGTAGGATTTATAACATAAACAACAACTAATTAATTGCATACTCAGTCTTTGATTATCTCATTTCATTTTATTTTGAAGAATGATCTGTCACACTCTAATCTTTCTAATTAATTTCTTCATATTAAAAAAGTGAAAGTAATCAAGTCAAAGTGTATGTATACTGAATTAGTTCATTGTCTCAAAATTTGTATGCAAACTTTTAACGAAAAAATTTCAATAATAATATTAATAATAATAATAATAATAACAATGAATAATATTCACAGGATATTTTCCATAGTTATATTTTGTTCGGACTAGTTAGTTTGAAGTAATAAATAATCTTGTGTTAATTTCTTGGAATACAGGAATGGGAATATATTTATTACTATTTAAAAGATTATAATTTTGCTTTAAGAATTTTAATCCTAAATATAAATAAGTAAAACTTTCAGAGTTGAATTATCAATTCAATCAAGCTTTTGTTTCATTTCACTTCGCTAGCACGGTATGAACAAATTTAGCATCAGATAGAACGTTAATTTTGTTGCTTGCAGTGTTCCTGGGAGTATACTTTTTCATTGCAATACATCTTGCGCTTGTTTAATTGTGCTTAAGAAAAAAAATTCTTTGTAGATATCTTTTAAGGACTGATATTGGTTGTTGAGTAGGCCTTAACTTTTGTTATTATGCTTCTCGTGCATCGCATATTACTCTGCCACAACTGGTTAGAACTCAATGGAGCAGATACTTGCTGCAGAAGTTAATTCTTGTCATTATCACTGTTATTATCATTTTTTGTGATGTTGCTCTATTTGTGCGCTTTGGTACATTCACAACTGATACAATTAGCACGTAAGTTTTACATATACTTCAGTATTTTGAGTAAGTATTTTTTTTTGTTTTTTTTCTGCTTTAATTATTAAATTGAAATTACTGGTATATATTATTAAATATATCAGTTTTTTGGTATATAAATTAAGTAAATTATTTTCTAGTATGTAGTGAATAATAGATAAATAATAGATGAATAGATAATCATTATTTAAATGATCGCTTCAGTATTGCATAAAACAAAAAAAAATTTTTCAATAAACTTTATGGTATTTAATTTTATATTGATTATTCAAGTTTTACTAATTTTAAATAAAATTTTTACATCATTATTTGTTTGATTGAAATGGACAATTCTTTTAAAGCATGAAAATTCAAAAAATTATCGCTTTTTGAGATTTGTTTTTGTGCTTTTATCAAACATATATATATATATATATATATATATATATATATATATATATAT